TAATTAGCGTAATTCATTAAGAATAAATACTATTTGTTAAATACCCCATGTCATATTGGATTTTATTCACCATATATTGCACCCTTGGGGCTTATCCCTCCAAAACTTCATTAAACACACGAGATTTGTTAAGTACATTGATGTCGTTATTTGAACTCGTAACCCCAAAAAATGCATGTCATATTCATAAGTTTTGTGATATCATTCTTTCAAGCATGATTGTGGATTTTCATGATCACCATGACAATATTGATCTTTTCATGCCGTTGGACAATTTTTTCATTTCCAATGCATATAATCTATACTACCTAATATACTTGGAAAATCGTGTCTCTCTCCTATTTGAAGTAGGTGTTGAATGTCATTATTGTTAGGTCTTCTTAAGTATTTTGCTCCAAAGATTTGACAAATATCATGAACAAATTAACTTACTCAAGCATTCTATTGTAGTATTTTCTCCAATTCACACATAATCGTCAACATTATTAGCAAGCGATCCATATACTAATATACAAATAAAATTAGTGTATTTTTTCAATGGAGAAAGACTTTTTCTTCCGGTTGCATCAACTCTTATTTGAAAATACTCATCATGATTGCTTAAGGCTTATACAATGAGAAGGAACGCATTCCTTCGCATTCAAAATCATCATCGAAATTGTTCTTCTATGTATACTGGATTGTTGAAGAAGTAGTCATTGAACAATTAAGCTTGCCCTTCACGAATCCTTTCAATATGAGTTCGTCTTCACCTACGTGTACTTGTTTGTTGTCTCTTCATTACCAACCTCGCGTATAGTTCTTCAATGATTTCATCCTTAAGATCCTCTTCGTAAGATGAATCGTTGGATTCCATTTGAAGGAACACTATAAAATCTTAATGTTAAGAAAATTTAAGCATATAAAGAGTGAAAGAAAAGAAGAAAAATTAGGAAGTGAATGAGTAAAAAATGTATAATGAGTATTGATATATAAAATTATATTAAAAAAATAATTTTACAATGTTATAATAAATATATATTATGTCAATAACGTTATTTTTTTTTCAAAAAATTTAATTTATAATGTTAATAAAAGTTATACTAGATTTTATAATATTTTATTATATAAATTTAATTTTTAATTTAAAAAAATCGAAACACATCGATTCTTCCATAAGCCTCTGCTGCTTAAATGAAATTATCCACAATAGAAGATCTTATACAATGAGATTTTTGGAAGAACAATGGAACATAAGTTTCTGCATTGTGAATGCCCTAACTCAACTCAAAGAAACTTTTGATTAGTTTAAGTTTAACGAATGGGACAAATTTAGATAAGTTTTCAAGTCATTTCAATGTCATATATTTAATAATTTTAAATAATTATATAATAATAATATAAATTTTAAATTAATAAATAATATTTTCTTTAACATAGTATTATATTGATATTTATACATTTGTTTTGAAATATATGTAGTAAAATATGACTTGATTGTAGCTGTAAACTTTTTTTAATTTTATAATTTAACATGCTAACAAGTTGAGTTGATTCGATCTTCTCTTCATATTTGTCGGATATTTTTATCCGTTGGATTTCGGAGGGATAGGAATACAAGCAAACTTATCTCGATTCGTCCGGCATACAGGCATGCATGAATGCGTGGTGTGAATGTAAGAACTACAGTTGTGTGAGTAAGCACCCGGAAATTTATGAGAGAAGTGTTATGGAAAGAAAGTAAAGAGGAAAAGGAAAAAGGACATGAAGACAATGAGGTGGTTCCAGGATGATGCTAGGAGCTTGCCATCTTCTTCACTAGGATTAGACTAAAGATAGATAAAGCCTGTTGAAGTGGAACCACAAGGATGTCAGTCCCTTTTGTCAAAATCCCCATATGCAAAAAGCCAGTTTGTTCTTGCTTCACACGTGATTTCATGCCTTCAAATTCATTTACCTATACTAACTCCATGTTGGAGCAGTTTGTTCATGCAGAGGAACGAGTTGGCATGCAGCAAAAGTTAGATTAATTGAAGTTTGTTATTTATTATATATACTATACCGGAAGCTTTAATTAGATAACCTTAAATAAACTATACTGTATGGAGATAATTGGTCTGAGAGTGATCCAGAATATTATTAATGTTCTTATATTATGTTTTGTTTATAAGATGTTTAAACAACATCCTTAAACCACTTGTTATTGGATATTCAAAGTATTATTACAAAATAGTAATTTTTTTGGTTTTCTAGCATAAAAGGTTAGGAGTTAGGGAAGGAGAGAGAGAGAATATGCCTTTTGATGGATATATATGATTGGCATTGACTAGTTTGTCCAAACGTCTTTGGAAAGTTCACTTGTTCTGTCCCACAAATGGGATTCTACTAGGCCTCCCCAAAACCAAAACCAGTATGTGTCCATATTAGCCTCTTTCACCAGGACATACACAAACAGTTATACACTGTGTCTTTCACCCTTTTCCCACATGTATAACTAATGGACACAACTAATGGATGTAGGTTTTGACATCGAGGACCCCCTCTCCTAGAAGATCCATGGAGCTGCAATAGCCAAATTATGGTTCACGTTTTGGAAACAACACCTTTGATTTGGTTTGGCCACTTTGTTTGAGAAGTCACTTTCATTATTTTTTCAATTTCCTTTACTCCTCTAGTATGTTCAAGCATGGAGTGTCATCACTTGCCAAGTAAAAAGCCTTGCCAAAATCTAAAGACTAAATACAAAATAATCGCCAACATAATGACTGTGATCGTTCCACTAGTTAGTGTCACCATGTCAGGCATGGTACGTATGCTAGGTGCTTCTGTCACAAGTTCATATGAAGACCAACTTTAATTTGTCTTAAATTATGTGTTCGAAATTATTTTGGTTCTCATATGAAAACAAACAAACACTAGCTAATATAATATAGCTGGCAGTGGCAGCAACGACAAAAGATCACAAATAACAAGTACCCTTCTACGTACAAACTAGCTTAGAATCCCTTCGAGTGCTTTTGAATTTACTTGCTTATAAAAAGCTTCTATTTTGTCTTCTCTTATCAGTTCAGCTAAAAATAACCGTCCGTCTTATGTTAAAATAAATATTTGATTGTCTATGCATGAAACACAGCCAAATCATTTGAAAATGTTTCAGTAAAAACAACAATTTTACCATCTAAGCAAGTTCACCTAACCTTATCTTGTGTTTTTTTAAGGAGAATCTCAGTCATATAGAACTATGTGAACTTAGATCCTTGTTATAAGGATGTCATAATTTGTACTTTTGTAATCCTATTCCTCAATTAAAGAGGCTGCTATGTATATTTTTCGATGATTACATCGATGGAAGCATGTCTGTCAGATTAATTTGAAATTTTACCCATCACCTGATCTAAAATCACATATACTACACATTTCTCTTGTTATATAGTGGTGTTTTCTGGCATTGAAAATCGTCCTTCTGACATTTATGCAATTTCGATAATAAGATAAAATAGAAGTTTCATTTGTTTATTTGTTGGGACCTGAAATGAAATTTCCACTCTGTAGTGAAACTTAAAATATCTGATGCGTCCAAAGAAGAACCCCGCATTTTGTTTTGTTGTTCCTCAGTTCATAGGGAGAATAACTCCACAAGGCTTTTGTCAAATTTGTCACTTACCTTTTTTATGTAAAAAAAAATTAATTGAAGTTCAAACGTTAATATTAATTTTCCCTACAAGTAA